CAATGTTTTGTGTTCAATGGGATCAAGGACAGGGAGACATTTGTAAAGATGTTCAAGATACCAAAATACTGGTTGGTGATGTGGGCCCTGTGTGCAAGAGAATCATCATGCGTTAGAATGAGATCATAACCTACATCACCTGAATATGGTCGTTCATAAAATTCGAAATTCCATTGACGTATCTGTCAACCGTGATTGTGCTGTTTTCATTGACGTGTAAATCCATATTCCCCTGAGCATATTGTCCGTACATTCTATGACAAAACATCTACCAAAAAGGTTTTTTTCAACACAAATTGCTTATTTTCCAAACCCTAGGCCTTCAGTTCGTCAAGATGTCCATACACAACCTTGACTCATCTTTGAAAAGAACTGGGCCCAGTCATTTTTTTGCTAAATTAGCATGGTTTTGTGCCCATTCCAAAGGATTTTTCAGATGATGCGTGTCAATTGGTTGCGAATCGCAATCCGTCTTAAAATTTGTTTCACGCTATCGGTTTGTAACGGTTTGTAGGCACACCGTTATCATTCTGCAAGACACTTTATGTTGTTGGATGTTTCATACTTGTAAATTACACTACTTTCAGTATGCTTTTGACAGTGCTACGTGGCGTGAACTGTTCAGGTAGTTTGCAGTTACCATTGTCCACCTGTGCAGCACTTTATTCGCCCGAAGACAATGGAAGATATTACGGTATGATGTTGTTCGTCCGTCTGTCTGTCAGAAGATAATTGGTTTCTGCACCATAACTTTGAAGGATTTCAGTGATTTTTGTGTTTATATTTGGCTTGTATGTTATATCAAAACACAGATAAAGTGTGATATTCCTTGTAATCAACTCATTATTAATTGCACAGAAATGTTTTTTTTTCAGCGGTTTTTAATATTTCGGCAGAATGTATATAAGGCGTAAATGATTCTGTATATATTAACTCATGCAAGTATATTATATCACAGCACATGTTAGGTTTGATTTTCAGGACACTTAATTTTTTATTAGAAAAATCATGCCTATTTTAAAAAAAATGTTTCTGAAATTTTTTATATCCACAAAACAAGTTTAAGAAATAAGATGGATGCGTTTATTATTGGCATGTAAGTCTGCAATTGTACCAAACACAGGCCAAGTGCGATTTACTCTGCAATCCGCTAATTTCAATCTCCTAAAACTGATTACTTACATTTAAAATGAAATCCAGTTATAACATAGGCAATTATCTCCTGTTACATATATGTTAAATGAATAAAATTAGACCGCATAACTTTGTTTTAACTTTTATACATTTCATAATCTGAGCTATTTAAAGCAATTAATTTGTTATCTTTCTTTAAGGCACATTTTTGACCATGATTCCTTCTTGTTAATTCTCAATCGGACTTATATTGCCAGCCTCAGCAGAGCTCACACTTCTCCAGAAACAAATCAAATTGACTTTGATATCTTTATATGCTTACCTGTGTAATGCTTTTTAATTATATTGTTTCGTTTTTGATTTTATTCTTAACTTCAAATTGTGTAAAACGTTTTTACTTGTTGTCGACACGGCTGTGACTCCGTAACAATGAGCTAACTTTGTGCCGTGTGTGGACATGATATAATTTGCTGGATATTCGAGAAAACTTCTCTTGATTTATTTTTTTCCCGCCCCTTCTCAAGTATTTCTTTTGTCAGTCAGGGATATTTTGCAAAATTTTCTCTTGTGAGTATTTCATCGGCATAAATATACTTGACTAACTTTTCTTAAAACTTCTCCAACAATAGCAAGCATTCAATTGAATGGAAGTAATCTCTTAATGAAGATGTTTTTGCAATATCTATTTCCTCCCAAATGTTAAGTTACTGTAAGAGCTTCAGAATATAAGCAACAAAAGAAAAGTTCTACATCCATCAGTCTTATTCGTCATAAGACAACCTTGCCAAAGAATTTCACATTTCCGGGTAGACACATATTTTTTGATGAACTTCCCAAGCCTATAAACATAAATATTCCCATGAATTACAAACACAATGTGATATGGTAGTATATTTGAATAGTTTCGAGCTGTTTACCTTCCTCACAACGACTTGCTAAGTTGTTATAATGTTTAAAGTAGTTTCTTGAAAAGCATTGTATGAATAATGGTTTTGCAATAAATACTGTCGTTTCAGTCTTTCCATAAAAAGCATTAAAAACCTCAAGTTTAGCCTCATGTGTTAATTATTACAAAATATTACAAAAAAACTTTTTGATATGGAAAGATTTGATGATTTTCTGAAATCTTAAGTGTCTATTCTTTCCTCTATTCTCTACTTACTCCATGAGTGATTTCAACCAACAACGAAATAAAATCTTCTCCATTATTGTAACCCACAAGGACATTAATTCTCAAAGATGACGCTTACGCCCTTTTTTTATCTTATGTAAACCAATAGAACACGTATTCGTATTCTTCCGCTAATAGATATAACCATATGTTTTTCTTTCCTAGAAAAACTTAGCAACTGAAGGATCTCTTATGGATCATAGTCAAAAGGTTAATTTGCCGAGCGTAAAACTCTGTAGGTTTATGACGGATTAAGGCATTTGCGCTTTCATTTATATTCTGATTGCATTTTATTCAAGAGCAAAACTTTAACTTTTTTAGATATCTTTTGTTTGCACTAAGCGTTTAGAAAAACAAATTATATTTTGCCTAAACATAAATGCTACTTATAGACTTGGGGCAACAGGCCTGGAACCAACCAGTACAAAGAAAAGAATGTAAAGTTTCTTGATAAAGGAAACAAAGGCTTGCCCCTGACCGGGTTTGAACCCACGCGATCAGCACGTATTGAAAGATGGACAAGCACATTTCATACACATAGCCTGGTAATGTAACACTATCAGCTTTTTGAAATTTGTGCAAAATGAAATTTTAAAAATGTGGGTTTTTTAAACCCAAAAATTTTTTCCCCCCCCCAAATTGAAATTTTTAATTTTAAATATTTTTTTTTATAGAAATTAATTAAATGAAAGCAAACAAAAGAAATGTAAAATTGTGAATTTTTGGGCCCTTTTTTTTTTTTTTTCTTTTTTTTTTATTATTTTACTTTTTTAAATTTTACTACCATGTTAAAGATCACTCACATCAATCAAAGAAAGCATAAATCATATTAAGTATATAGAAAGCAGTTGTAACTGCGTGAGACAAAATATATTCATCAGAAAGATACGCAGGTGATAACTATTTTCACTTCAGCGTCCATTGAAAATTTTTTAAATTCCATCATTTTACCAGGTCATTTAGCACACCTTTTTATTATTAGTCACATGGAAACTGTTGGGACAAAACATTTGGAATGTACATAAAATTCATAGAGAGGTGAAAAGTATCTATGCAATTTTTGAATGATTAACTCAAAACTATATTGATCCACATGTTTTGTTTACGATATCAATTGATAAGTTTAGATATACATGTATGTTCATTGCATAAGAGAGAGTTAGAATAAGAGATAAGTTTCTTCATGAATGTATATTTAACGATTTGTATTTATCTATAAAGTGATTTTACGTATTTTTGAAAATAACTGTTAGTTAGCAAAAGAAACAACGAATGTTCAAAAACGACTGTTAAAGAACTTAAAGCGTGGGTGTCTGCCTTCAGCATGTAACGTATTCGCCAAGAATACGAGCTATTTTTGTGTGATGTTATGTAAATAACTGGAGAAATATTCAAATTAAGGACATTTCTAAACTGCTGTCATATTATTTGTGAAAATATGTTAAATAAATTTGAAATTATTAGTGATATTTGTTGTTAAAAATATAGAAAATTTGCCCGTTTTGGATACCTCAGTTACAATAAAGCGAAAATAGCTTATATTTTAGTTTTGTTAAGGAAATTTCCCTTAGTTATCGTTTGTTTTAATAATTGAACTAAAGCAATATGAGAAATAGGATTGCTCCTAACCAAGTAGCGCAAACGTTGTTTATTGGGTACTAAAACAGAATTGTTGGTTTCATGCTGATAATGGTCAAGATTAATTTTACTTGCATCTCTTTCATTTTGTAAGTGTTATAAAGAATATTCTTTGAAGATATATATGTATAACTATACTGATTCAACTAAATATTAATATTTTCCTGTTGGTTGATATTACGATGTTTGATCTGATAGAATGTCATACATTTGCATTAAATCATTTTGTGAGGACTTTTATTGGACGTACGTTGCCGAGTGGTTAGGGGACTTCAAACCACTAACCAGCTTCCGGAGCGTGGGTTGTTTTACTTAAGTGCCAGTTTGTGAAAAATATATAATGCACGAGATCATCATCAGTTAATCTAGAAAGTAAAGGTACATGTGTATGTATAAGGTGCTGAAACAAATATACAAGAGGAAGTTTTTTAAAGCAGCAATTACACTGAAATACGTTATAAGTGACTGTAGAATCTTGAAAATGCCTGTATTCTTAATATATATTTATAAAGCGTATGTTAAAGGAAAGAACATACCGCCATACCCTTTTCTGTATAAATAACAAATGAACGTAAAAATTCCCAGTAAACATCCGGTACAACAGCAGACACACATAAAGGTTTTATACAAGTATAATGATTATACCGTGCTAATTACTTGTCACATATACATCATGTTCGTACCTTTTTAAAAGGTGGGATAGTACCGCATATACAAAAACAATAACAACAATAATGATAATGATAACAACAACTATATTTTGTTCAGTATAAAATCAGCAAAATTTGTCATCGTCTATGCCTAGAACATTTTTTTTTTACATCATTTGTACATGTAGTAGGTACACCTTTATTGTGAACTAAAATAGGATTCTACAACAGAGACAAACAAATAGCTGATAAATTATTGATCAATTTTCTATTAAAAAATATTCGCAAAGTAAATGCTTTTTTTGTGAAAGATTTACTATGTCTTTCTCTTTTTCTCGACACCATCGCGTTTTCAATTTTTTCTAAGGATAATCATGTGTAAGGTACAAAAAACGTACAAGTTAGTATAAAGTGAAATTCGTTTTCTATCACATTAAGATTACAAATTATATATTCTTACGTTTCTTATTACATCAGAATAAATGTCTGTACTTTTTGTCAAAATACTTTTATTGTATTGTCATCCAATACAGTAATGTAAATAGTATAAAAAACGTTTTGCATTTCAAATCCTTTTTCTACTTTATCATTGTAAAGTGTATAAAGATACAGCTTATCTCATGTTTATGTAAATGTTATAGTAGGCACAATTTCCTATCTTCCTTAATGTCATTATTGTTTTTTTTAAAACGATTATAACATAGAATGCCTCTGTTATTCAACACACATTAATATTGTTAGTAAACAGATTCGAACGGTCCGGAACCACATATTATATTCTTTATGCAGGAAGAATAATTTTATAAAGCTACAGGCTCTATAGCTTTACACACTTATATTAACATATAGCAAAAACTCATTTTTTTTTCAAAAGTTAACAGATAGTAATTATGTTCACCCTTTAATACCTAATTGCATGAATATTTCTTTCTGTCAGAGTTTTTTATACACAATTTCCTTTCATTTTCGACTACATATTCTATCTTTTAGCTTTATCATCACTTTTTTAAAATGTGGATCAAGAAATCCATACAAAAACGGATTTATAACGTGATTTATAAAGTACAGCCGAAAAAAGAAGAAATAAACTGTTTTCGATCCGCCACTCATGTCTTTCAAAATGTTTTTGGCAATGAACGATAGAAGTGTCGAGTACAAAATGATAGTAATGATGAATAAAATTGTTAATATTAGCATTATCTTTGTCTTTCTGCGAACACGCAAACCAACAAATCGTTTCCGTCGTAGCGCGTGAGATTTGATAGTATTCGCGCTCTTTTTGTCATTTTTGGAAATGGCGAAACTTACTTCGGGAGTTGAGAGAGTTGTTATCCGGCTTGAAGAGTCTTCGTCTTCGTCTGTTGTAAGACCTCCATCTGACGAGATATAATTAAACTTGGCTTTCTTTGGTTTATTGCCAACGCCTGACGAATACCCGGCATCACTAGTATCCTGTTTTGAACTCAGCTCGGTGTCTTTCTTTATGTTGACATCCGAAGAAGCACCGGTCTTAATTGAAGTGATTGCGATAGCTTTATTGTCAGATTTTCCATTAACACCCCCTTTTCCAGTGATAAGTTTTCGTGCTATGAGTATGTATAGACCGAACATCGAAATGAGGCAAACTGATATTATACCTTGAACTGAATAAGAGTATTTTAACGGATGGTCTGTCTTATTGTATTCCCCATCTTTTTCACACACAGTTACATTAACGGTTTGATTTTTGTATTCATATTTAGCAGTGTGTATTCCCCAAAAGAAGGGAACAGGCAACGCAATTATAAACGCCACAAAGTAAACGACACCACACAAGAATAAAGCCATCTTTGGTTGTATCTGCCACCCAAAAGGTGTACATACTTTTCTGTAGCGGTCTATGGCGATGATGAGAAGACACAATATTTCTGCTGCAGCAGTGAACACGTTGAAAAATGTATTGATCTTACACATTAATCTATACGGGTATATATACCAGTACATTTGAGTAACCATCTCTCCAGGCATTGTCGTTAAAGTGCTGGCAAAGTCCACAAACGCCATACAGAGCACGAAATACCGGAAGTTGCAGACATGATAACGAAATAAGAACACATAAATCACCAGCAAGTTTCCAAAGAACCCAACTACGACCTCAATTCCCACAAAGACGGTCACTGGTAAAACAGCTTCTTGAAAATCATATTTTAATTGTCTTGCTAACTTTTCATTTGTGATATTGTCGTCCGAATCCATTTCTTTCTCAAAGAAAATATATCTTTACCGTGTTGAGATGTGTTGCGATATGATATTAGTTATGCAGATATCATAATGAAAACTTCCTTAAACTTAATAGATAATGATTTAAGTGCATAAAGACAATTTATATTATTTCCATTCAAAATGTATCCTGTTTCCACAAGTTGTTAATACATTGTTACTTAATTTGTTCATAAGTGACATATCATTGAGATGTACAAAATCATAACCAACACACAATTAAAATCAAAATACATTGAATTGATTAAACCTTACGTAAATGGAACATATAGCGAATAACAATTTAAGAGATTGAGGTGATCAGATATGAATTTGATTATGAAAGATTCACAGAAAACAGGTGATTGCTATAATGTAATATTCGTCTTTAAATACTTAAATGTTTAAGTACCTTTTAAGCCGAACGTCATGTTTGTAAAAACTATAATAATATACTACTTAATATCTTGAGTGATTTGATCTACATGAGCATCAAACTATGACACTGATCAAATATGGTAATAAATGTCAGATTTCAATACTTTTGCCAACATATATAATAGTTTCATATAAACTATTGCTTTCCTCCATCGATAAGGGTCATTTGACAATTCTATTTATATAGCAATAAGGCGTAATTTATTTGAAACGAAATTATAATGAAAATTAGCAATCAAATTATAAAAAAAACTATGTCGTATACATTTTTGCATTTTGAAATTATTGATATAATTAGGTTGTGCTACTCATCAAAGCAATTATTTCACTCCTACAATCAAAAGAAAATGTGTTATTGTTACATCGAAAAATCTTCAATATCTTTGAAAGAAATAGATAAGTATGTTTTTGTGACTATTGGTTTCAGACGGTTTAGAAAATTGACAAACACTTTTAAATTTTATCTGATTCTCCGTCTAAAGAGATAGAATCTTTGATCACATTCAGAAACTTTATCACACTTTTCATGAGAGAAAGCTCGCTCCGTTATATAGCGTGCAATTATATTGATGTGTCATTACAAAGATTGTTGTCATGGACAGGTACGGCGGAGGTTAGTATGCATTAAACAAAGACATATGATCCTCTTTAGACTTAAAAAGAACAGCAACAAAATCTGATTCTAAAAAAAAAAGTAAAGTAAATATGGGGTCCAATGGCAAACAGTTAAATAACTTTTACATCTAATTATTTGGACCACGTGGTTTTCGAATTTGTTTTCTGTATGGCTTATATTCTACCGTTATAAAAAACTTGATCATAATAACAAAAACAAACTAGAATACCGGATGTGTGAATATTGTTAGGTTGAAATAAGTCTTAGTCAATCATTTGACAGAAACTTTTTTCAAAGTTCTCTTTAACAACTACATGTATTGTGACATCTGAATGCTCGAGGGTCAAGTTCGGCATCTTTATAAGACGAAAAATTGTTTTCCTGTGACTGCTTAGTGTATTCATTTTGAGGACATTTATGGAATATGGAAAGAAAAACTTAAATCAAAGAAATGAAAATTTTGCCTTTGTCTCCCTATTTAACTCACATTGTACTTTAGGACGTAGTCAATGCAATTGTTTACTGTTCTTAACCTATTATAATTTCTCATTTAATATGATGTGTGAATGAAAATATAGATTACATAATGCTAGAATAAGATAAACGACACTTCAGACACAAATGCTTGCCACAAAATACACCTTGTCTAGTTGAAATTCTGAATTCTAGAAATAATGATTTCCTAAACAATGACATTCAGCAGAAGGTCAAGAAAAACTTGTGAGAACTCATTCCGTCTGATATTAAAACGATTCTAAATAAAGCTTTGAGATAATTGAAGGTTTAGCCTGAGGCGATTTTTCCCGATTGTTTTCAAAGAGGTAAGGAAACCGCTTTCAGATACTGCCAAAATAATAACAAATGTTATGAAACTAATCTCTTTGCAGAACTTCGGGAAAGAATTGTGAATTTGTTTTAGGAAAAATAAAGACATCCGTGTGAAAGTCTGATGCCAATGTATTTCTTACTTGAAAACAATCAAAACATTGAAAATACTGGAAACCAGCTACTCAAGGTAGCAATTGTGAGAAGACATATTCAATAGCTAATTTTCGACCGTATTCAGCACGTGTAAAAAATTCGAGCGATCCAACACACATGCCGACAAAAATGAAATAAAAATGACCATTTTATTTTCGAAATTACGCGTATGTAATATAAAATGTCTTGACAGGAGATTTTCACTAAACATTTATTACATACACGTTAAAAAGACTGAAAAATACTTGACGTGCCAAAATTCTGAATAATAATCAAATTATTTTAATATTCATTAGCCTGTTTTTCGTCTTAAAAGAACGTTAATGAGATTGGCAACTTGGTTTCGAGATACTTTCTTTATTAAAAATACACTTCACTTTAAAGTAAGCATCATTTATCACACACCCGTGCCGATTTTGCGACTCCGTAAATATGGTATTGCATGGCCGTGCATATATTTTGACGTGACGTCATTAGCGTTATACAAACATAGTGTAAAGAACGCTAAATGTTAGCGTTATACTATAGGCGCGTCAATGAATTATGACTCTTATTTCACTTTAAACGGTCTTTATTTTGGGTGTGTGATAAATAGAATATTAAATTCATGTAAGTTCCATACTGAATTTATTGCACTCGTTGAATAAAATGATTTCATGCTCGCCAGAGGCTCGCATAATATAATTTTATTCATCTCGTGCAATAAATTCAGTATGGAGCTTACATTCAATTTCCTCTATATATTACAATAATAGCATTAAATGCATAAGAGACCTTTGTTTTTAAGTAATACAATAACATGTTAATTACGTCGATCGCGTATTTTATTTCCTACTATATAAAATATATCATGTGAGAAAAGTATCCAGCTAGCTTACAGAACGTCGGTGGTTCTACTCAGGTGCCCGTTTTTGCCTGAAAATATGCACGGAAGGGCATCTGAGCTCTTCCCCCCACCAGTAAAGCTGGAACGTCGCAATATAACCTATAATGTGTCGGCGTGACGTTAAACTCAATTAAACAAATAAACAAAATATAACCGATGGATCTTAAGCGTTTGAACCTCGTTATCTTTCAATAAAAATCATGATTTGGTCGGATCTTATCAATTTAGCCTTGTTCCCGTTTCCAGAGTTCAACATTTTTTATCGTGCTCCATTTTCATTTTCAAAATTATCAAATTCATATTGTCCTTGAAGTAACAAAGTTCTCTCAAAATGCTTTAGTATGAATTAAGAGGTCATCATACATTAAAATTTAAGCTTCTATTGGACTTATGCACAGCTGAAAAACATAAGTCAGACTCGACAAATGCTCGTGCAATTTAGGTTTATAACATGTGTACCCGTCCAAATAATCCAGTATTGTATTCAACAAGGTATACTACCCTCATAATATTACCCATATGAATGATTGTCGCAAATGTATGAGTAGATATTAAGAAATGGTATAATATTGAAATTTGGTGTTTAAAATGGTTGTTTTGTTATATGGCTAAAGTTTATGCTTTATAAGTTTTCAGCCGTTTATTTACCATAGTTTTCATAGTTTTTATATTAATGTTAAATTCATAGTAGTTAATAATATGATACATTTTTCAATATTTGCAATCCTTCCATTTAGAGGTTTTAATTCGAAGTCTTGTCACGTAGCAAAGCTTTTTGTCTTTCAATATATCTTGGGATTGTTTATGACGTGAACTATTTGATAATCTATAGATTGTCAAATCCCTTTGCAATGCTTTGATTAATTTTACTTTTTTATCATTGTATGATCTGTTTGTAAATACATTAGGTGTTTGATGTTGTCACAAATGATGAATTATTTCAGATTAATGTTGTTATGTTATTCCCTAGGTTTAATATGATTATATGTGCAGCATTGCAAAATGGATTAAGAGATGATAAAAGGTACGAATGAGACGGCATGAGGGCGCCACCGTATGTCGAGAAAACAATTACTTTAACAGATTCTAAGGTGGATAACACTGATGACAACTAAAATTTGATATAATTTTTTTATTTCACATTATTCTGCCGATAGCAGAGCCTTTTTTATATAAACACAGGTTCAGTAGAATGTAATGCATTAATATAAATTTTATTTTATTCATTATATACGTTCATGTTTCGACAACGTAGTCCTCTACTGTACAGCCAATTAGGAAATAGATTTCAATTTTGAGTACATTTTTGTAGAATAATTCGAGTTCAAATGCGCATAAATATAAACACAGAGGTCGATAGGCTTAAGTGATTAATTACAAAGAATTTAAACGATAAACCGTGCATACATTAATGTATTATAAAACAAGAAAATTAAATATCTATTTTCATTCACATGCTTATGTTACTTTCTTTGCTCACTTTAACATTTGACAATATAACTACTTGTTAATAACTTTTTCTTTATTTTCGAAAAAGAAATCAACATTTTCTTTAAATAAATAGATAAATAATAATACAAATGTAATAAAAATAAATAAAATAAAAAATACTTCTTATAATAAGTCTTTTAGATGCACACCGTTTCATTTCCCTCAACCGAGGAATCAAATCTTTTCTTGAAAACGTACATAATTTGGGAGTTTTTCTTGAATTCTTACTCTTTGACAGAAGTGATAAATGACTTTTGAATTATTGCCTAGAATTGACTCGACTTTTGATATGTTTATGCTGGATTCTGAATGATGGCGTGGGAAGTGGAAAACTATGTCTACATTTTCTTTCAGAAGTTTGTTGAAAAGAGATTCCTGGAATATTGTGAAGTTTGATAAATGATGTGTTCTTATACTTGTTCGTTTGTGGGCAGTATGTAAAAATATATCCAGGTTAAAACTGGAATGGTATTATTTTTAACGAAGTCACAAGATATAATGGAAATTGTTTTATCTACATTGAAATATAGGCAGCCAATCCACATGTAAGATATTAAGCATTGTAAAATTAAGCTAATTTGTTAAAGTAATTTTATATATCAGAGAGTCTACGCTCTTAAACCCCCGTCACACTAGGGCGGCATTCGCATGGAGTACAAGGAAAGCTCAGAACGCCGGGGTGAGCGCAGTATAGCTGTCATCGGTGGAGATGATATCGATGTATCAGTGATATTTTTCTGTCGATCAATAATCGATACACAATTGAAAAAATCGATAATTTTGATTAATTATTTAAATGTCTATAAATTATAAAAATTCACCCAAAAGCAGGTGGCCATGTGTAACACTAAGCTATTTAACATAATGGACTCATTTCAGAGCAGTGATGACAAAAAAATGGTC